TTTGCGACAAAGGAATGTTCTCCAGTAGTGTTTCATTAGGATTTGAGTGAAAAAATATTACGTACTTACACAATTGTTCCTCTTACTTTGACAACACAACATACATACAGTATATTATTTCTCAGTTTTGATCTTTTTTTTTAATTTTTGTATTTATTTATAGTTAGTTACTTAAAATAAGGCCAATTCACTTCAAGTAATGGCATCAAATATTACCAGCTGGTGTAGTGTAAACACTAGTGACGTCACTTGAGCGTCTGTAATTAACCGTCGATAGTTTCAAGAATTAATGCACTTTTCCTTTCTTGTCTCCTCACTGGCAAATGGGGGGGGCGTGGGGAGGGGTGTGTGATGATAGCTGTGTTTATTACAGGGGTATAAATCTCTTTTACGGTATGTTAGACAGGTTTATAATACATTTTTATTATTTTAATATACCGGTAATCTTAATTTGAATCCAGCTTGCCAAACGTAAGTTTCAGTATAAAATAATTAGTGGTAAGACCTTGTGAGTGGCTTACGATGTTTTCATCACCACTCTTGACACACTAAACCACAATATTTAAGAGGTAAGAATTTTAAACTTGGTGGTTTAGACGACCCCCTAACTTTGGGCAGATTTTTTTAATGTTCAAATTTCGTCTTATAGGCCGTGATATGTAAGGACAGCCAATGAATATTGTGCGAGTTTTTACTCAGGTGAAGTCATCAGGTTCAACTCTGGCTGAAGCTGTAGCTTTCCATAAAGCTGTTGCTGGAACTGTTACTGAACCTGAAGTTGATGTTGAAGCTGCTTATGATGCTGAATTTGATGGTGTAGCTGAAGTTGATGGTTTTGGCCTTCAAATAATAAAGCTGTCAAAAGAACCTTGCACAGCTGCTTTCTTTTCTCAATATACATCTTTATGTAGAGGTCATTTGCATTTATTTAAATTTTGATGCTTTGTTCTGTTAATGGATCCACTTCAGAAAATATGTTCATTGCTTGCTCCATATAATATCCACAGACCTCTTGCCTTTTTCATATCGTTTTAACACATCTAGTTTCATGGCTAAGCTTATACACTTTCTATTAGCTTTTGAAACAACACTAACATCACTTGCTCTCTTGCTTATGTTGAATAGGGATGCAAAAATGCTGTAAGAAACCTAAGAAAGTTTTTCTCCTGTTCCTGTTCAGATGCGTGAAAACAAATGGACCGCCAAGCTCCGACTGTAGTTTACTGGCGATGCGCATTACCACTCATTTGCCAGGCAGCTTCTTTGCGTAAGGCGCTCTTCATTTTTTTTTACTATAATTTTTTGTTTATAATACATATCGTGATTTAGTTATTATTTAAATGAAAATGTAATTTTATTTTATTTTTATTATATTTTGGTCGTAAATACGAATGAAATAAGGACGTAAATTAAATTTGGTCCTTAATTAACTAGGGTCTTAAATATGAAAAGTTGTTGGTCGAACCGTTGTTATCGGAGGCTTTACTGTAGTGTACTCACTTTGTACTCAAATGTACTACACTAAAGGTGTAAAATTTTTATCTCTTTTGAAAAATATGTACAGTGGTCCCTCAGTTAACGAACTCAATCCGTTCCAGCAGGTTGTTCGTTAACCGAAAAGTTCGTTAACCGAAAACATTGTTTCAATGGGTTTTTGGGTAATTGGTTCCAGCTCACCGAAAATTGCCTAAATTCAACAAAAATAGTAGAAAAGTTCACTTACTTTGAGGTGTGTATGTAGAAGGCTCCTGGATGATGATGATGATGTGCATTTGAAGTGGGAGGTGGAGGAGGAGAAGGGAGAAGAGAAGGCATTGGGGTGGAAGAGAAGTCACCCCATGTCACCATTTACCCATAAAATTTTAGTTCTCTTGGTGTATTTCAAGATTATTTTCTTTAAATCAACACTGCACTGCGCTATATATTGTCAATATGTAAAATAAATTTCAAAATGACCAATAATTTGCTTGGAAACACACAAAAAAAGCATTTAGTTGAAGAGAGTCTCAAGCAAGATGTTACCTCCAGTGAAAACAGAGAGAGACTAACTCCTGTTTGCTGTGTTAAGAGGCTGGATGCCGCGCATTAAACTAGTCACTTTACCTTCAATTATGTTCAATAATTGTTAAAATGACTAAAAATTGAATATTAAACTTTTAAAATTATTGAATAGTATAAACTTCTTGATATTTACTAAAATAGTAAGGAATTTAAGCCCTAGAACCGATTAATGTATTGGCGGACTGATACTAAAGCTGGTTGCCCAGCCAGTGCAAGCGAAAACGTGTTGAGGTCGGTTCGTAAGAAATTCGTTAACCGAATTTTTGTTCGTTAACCGAACTGAAGATTCTTATGGAAGGCAGTTCGTTAACCGAAATTTCGTTAACCGAGGGATCACTGTAATGTCTGTACTCAAATTATTCGCTATCTTGCAAGGATTCCAGCAATGAAAGTTATATTCTGCTAAGTGTATTCGGTGACATTTTATATTATAAAAACTTTAAGCCTAAAACTACCTTCACCCTGTTTTGGGAATGCTTCTTAGGGAGGCTTCTAAGCCCAGAATCCCCAGTTTTTTTGTCCGAATCTTCTGAAATCCGGATTTACCGGGTCCAGATCTTCGGGGGTTTACTGTACTACATACTCAAAGAAATTAGCAGTGAAAACATAACCTCTGCTCCACCTTCATTAACATGCACTGTGGGTGTCTTACAATCACCCCGTTTCAAATGCTTCATTACTTCAAGACTCAACCGCCTCATAGGTTAATACAATATATAATAAGTACAGTACAGTACTTTATTATTGTTGGAGCTTCCAATAACTTGCTTAGATATAAACCATTGACTCTTCAGGCTTCTACGCCCTTGACTCTTCAGGCTTCTACGCCCTTAACTCATGAGACATAAGGCAAGCATGAACTTCGCATGAACTTTTTTGTAATAAATAATACCTCAAACTAAAGTTAGGATAATATAATTGACATTGCTGGATTCCTTGTAAGACCAGGAATATTTTGAATACAAATGTCATATATTTTGCACAAAAGATAACATAGTTACTCTGAGAAAAATTTTTATCTAAAATTTGTATGTCTAATGCAAAATATATGATGTTTATATTCAAAATGATCATCAAATTATAAGAATTCCAGCAATGTAAATTATATTCAGACCGGGTAATTTGTATGAATTTTATGAGCTAAAACAAATATCTTCAGTTAATAAAAAAAAAAAAATATTCTTCACGGGTAACAGATGGTCGGTCGGTCCCTCCCTCCCCCCCACCCCCCACCAACCGTCCCAAGGAGATGTGTGGGAAAACCAGAATACTTAACTTTTTTGTAATAAATAATACCTCAAACTAAAGTTAGGATAATATAATTGACATTGCTGGATTCCTTGTAAGACCAGGAATATTTTGAATATAAATGTCATATATTTTGCACAAAAGATAACATAGTTACTCTGAGAAAAATTTTTATCTAAAATTTGTATGTCTAATGCAAAATATATGATGTTTATATTCAAAATGATCATCAAATTATAAGAATTCCAGCAATGTAAATTATATTCAGACCGGGTAATTTGTATGAATTTTATGAGCTAAAACAAATATCTTCAGTTAATAAAAAAAAAAAATATTCTTCACAGGGTAACAGATGGTCGGTCGGTCCCTCCCTCCCCCCCACCCCCCACCAACCGTCCCAAGGAGATGTGTGGGAAAACCAGAATACTTAACTTTTTTGTAATAAATAATACCTCAAACTAAAGTTAGGATAATATAATTGACATTGCTGGATTCCTTGTAAGACCAGGAATATTTTGAATATAAATGTCATATATTTTGCACAAAAGATAACATAGTTACTCTGAGAAAAAATTTTATCTAAAATTTGTATGTCTAATGCAAAATATATGATGTTTATATTCAAAATGATCACCAAATTATAAGAATTCCAGCAATGTAAATTAAATTCTGACCAGGCAATTTGTATGAATTTTATGAGCTAAAACAGGCAGTCAGGCAGGGTGGCGGGTGGGGCAAATCTAAAAATAGCGTCTGGAGCCGGACACTCACCACGTATATGTGCGTATATGTGGAAAAAATCCGTGTTAAGTGAAAGTTCAGCTCTGGCGAGGCACCACGTATATGATAAAACGCGATAAGTGAAACCGCGTTAGGCGGGGTAATACTGTATATATATAATATTTTGGGGGCATGGGGCTTGAATGGGGCTGAATATGACAGCTGAGATAGCACACACTGCTGCCAGGCATATGAGGCCTCCAGGCATCATCATCTGCTCTGTGACTCACTACTGAGAGCATATGAGACAGAAAAAATTAATGGTGTATAAAAAACCCAAAGAGTGTTGAGTCAAAGCTAAAAATTACAGTAGGCTCAGTGTTCTTAAGTAGCTTGAGTCAGAAATTCCCTATACCCAATACTCTAAGAATTTTTCAGCTTGCAATACAGTACAGTACTGTATAGACAATACAGACCTTTGCCCAACCTAGAATTTCGGCCAAACCGGACATCCCCCCTCCCCCCTAATTAGTCCGGATTGGAGGAACTTTACTGTATACCACACAAAGTTCAGTACAGGACGAGTTTTTCGGTTTCATTTTATATATAAAAAACTACCGAACTGGCTGCTAACCAATTATTTTGGTATTGAGAGGTAATAAGGTACTGTATTAGGATAATAGGAACACAGTGTAGTTAATTAGTAGAATTTGCATGTGAAGAATGAACACTGTCATTTGATAATGATTAAATTACAGAAATATTCAATATAACAAAGAAAAAAAGTGTGATGGGGTATATAATGTACTGTATGTACTGGTGCAGTACCGTATATAGAAACTATACACACAATAAGATAAACAGCACAAATTTCATCACAAAGCTATGTGCTTTACATCAATTAAAAATCATCATCCTATTGCAGAGTTGTACATTACCATGCCACTGAGATGACCTAACATCAAGCTTACCAATCTGAGAACCATGTTTCTCAACATCCTCTAAATGATCCCAGCCTAAGGCCGATCTATCTTGGCGGTCTTTCTGAACACCAAATTTTCCTCCAAATCCCTTTGAATAATCTATGACAAACAAGAAGGAAACACATATGAAGACAATCTATTCATGTAAGATTCACTAAAATAATTACTTAAATGTCCCCTAGAGAGGACTTTCAGTGTAATTCTATACAGTACAGTACTCAAAATTAAGACTGATAACTTTCAACATGACACAGTTTATGCAAGTTATTCAAAAGAGACAGTTATAGTAGTAATTATATCAGAATAATGTATACAGTTTAAGCCAAGGATAAAATACCAAGCAATGCATTACCAATAAATGTAACTCACCTTTCTGGCTCTCATGCTTATCAACCTTTTCTATGTGATCCCAACCCACTGCAGAACTGTCTTGACGGTCACTCTGGACACCAAATTTTCCTCCAAACCCTGATGCATAGTCTTTCTGTGAAACATGCTTGTCCACTTTCCCAATATATTCATGGCTTTCAGCACTCTTGTCCATTCTTAAAAAAAAAAGATAAACAAATTAAATTAACAATTTATTTTAATGAAAAAATCATCAACTATAATGTTTTAAAATGTAATCATGTTCCCCTTCACCTATGCTGAATACTGTAATTCTATTTACTGTAACAGTTACTATTGGTATGGATCCTTGCTGGACACTGTAATGATTTTGCACTTTGCTTTACAAAGGATGTAAAGGGATGCCCAATAAACAAGACCCCACACTGTAAGGGGTAACTCTGAGTATGGTGTGACTCCAGAAAGGGTGTACTGTATACAGTAAAAATATCTGATGAAGATAAAATATCACAAAAAAAGAAACTGCACTGTAGAAAGAAACAATCATCACAACAGAAGAAATTGAATGTCCAACAATTACGACGTCAAATGAGATGCTCGGTGAAAGACTGACTTATCGACCGACTATGTAAAAATGAGATCTTTGTTCCAACAAGTTGCCAGAGGAATCTATAAAACTAAATACATTTTGGAAGGGAGATACATTATTTGGGAAAGGTAAAAATGCCTTGGAAAGATATACGATTTTTGTCTTCACCACTGGATAAGGGAATACCTGTGTATTGACCACGAAGCATAGCCAATCATGGGTGAGTAATGCTGTGATGTCATGTACTCAGCCAATAGGCAACTTGGGATGTGAGTCGGTGTGGAGGCATGAGGGGAAAACTTAAGTTTTTGTTGTTGTCCTCCCATTAGCAAATACCATACTAGTGATTGTTCTACACTATTTTTCTATAATAAGTTCCTTTGAGAGTGAAAGTGTGGGGAAGACCATGGGTGATCAAGGAAGCATGCTTATGACCTCCCAAGTGGATGAAAGAGGTAGCAAACAAGAAAAAAATCGGGGTGAAGCATATGTGAATGTGACCATCAATAAAGAGGTAGAGGAGAGGAAGATTGGGCCTCCCTGTAAGTGTGGCTGCCTAGCAGGTGTGGGTGAGGATACACCTCTCCTGGGCTTGTGAGTATTACATCAACATTTTCATAAATGTTAACTGATGTTTATTAACCATTTATTGCAGGTTCTAAGGTGACTCCTTTAACTTATACTTTAGTTTATGACTATTGTGACTTTGGCAACTTTAGATTTCTGTACATATTCTAAAACAACAGTACACCAAATTTCCTATCTTTTGATAACAACATTAACAAAACTTTGGAGTGTGTAAAGTCTAACCTTGACTATGTCAGCTCAGAGTTTTGGTTTATATGTCGCTATACCACTGTTCACATCCATTAGAGAAAAGTACTTTGAAGTTTCTTATTCATTTGTCACATTATTACCAAAACACTAAATAAATTTACTTTACATTTCTGGGGATAGGTAATGAAATTGCAATCAGCAGTTTATTCCACACTCTTAAAATGGACTCACCCATAATGCTGCATTGTGATTGGTTAGCTATAATTTCAACACATATTTAGCCATAAAAAAGTGGTAAAATTTTAGGTAAAATAATTCAAACACACACACACCTGGCCCAGTTCATCTGTCTTCATTATTTTGAAGTCAAATTACAAATTATATATCACACTTTTTTCTATTATTTAATATTTTACATTCTTAATGATGAAACATACACCACAAGAGGCTGATCACACAAGAATATAATGAATAAATAAATACAAATGTGAATACGGCAACAAATAGTCCCACCTCCACCACCAATGACAGGGAAGAGATTACTTTCTGATTCAGATTATCATTTTATTTGAAGACAGATTATATATCTTATTTTTCTATTATTTAATACTGTATGTCATATTATTTATAATGAAATATACACTATAATAGGCTGATCATAAGAGAATACTGTATAATAATGAATAAATATAAGCAAACTTGCAATCGTGGCAATGGTCAGTCCCACCACCCCACATCCAGCAAGTTTATAGATCAAGTGTCATCTTGTATCTATTAGCTCTTGTTAGGCCTATATCAATTCTCATTAGACCACTGTACAGTATCCCCATTAACCCATAACTGGTCATTAACGTTCATGTACATGATCAATGTTACTGTCTCTGGTCATTCACATACTAGAACGTTTACCAAATATCCTTTTCCCCCCATCCTTTGAAACTGAGTCTAGCTGCCATAATCTGTTGCCTGGTGTTGTCTGGCATCTTATGTAAGCCTTTCCCGCCATTTGGCCATGACCCCCCCCACCCCCTCCCCCTGTGGGCTCCACCCTCCGTCTCCCCACAGTCAAGTTTGAAAGATGATGAGTGGCAAGTGGAGGAGAGAGGGTTGTAACAGCATCTTTGCTTTTTATAAATATTCATCCAAATGAATAACACCAACTTATTCACCACTGCATGATTACATCCGCCCACACTCCTTCCTCCCTCCTACACTAGCTCCCTCCCTCCCATACTCCTTCCTCCGTCCCACACTGTTCCTTCCTTCCCACACCCCTTCCTCCGTCCCACACCCCTTCCTCTCTCTCACACACTTTCCTTCCTCCGTCCCACACTGTTCCTTCCTTCCCACACCCCTTCCTCTCTCTCTCTCACACACCTTCCTTCCTCCTTCCCACACTTCTTTCTCCCTCCTACAGTGAGTATTGCCATTACTAAGTACAATATAAGCAAATAATATTCGTAAAAATGTAAGGAAAATAAACCGAGAGGGACGGAAAATATCTCCCCCCAACTTGAGTGTGCAGCATTGCCATTTGTAATAAAAAAAAACATTCATATGTTGATTTCATAAATCTTTTTCTAGTTTCATTTGCTATGCTGCTGCTGCTGCTGTGTGTGTGTGTGTGTGTGTGTGTGTGTGTGTGTGTTCAGCAATACTGTACTGCACCAGCCCAGGGCTTAGATGCCACACAGTACTTTTAAACGAGGCGAGTTGCCATCAAACAGATGAAAAATAACAAAGCCTCAGGGCCTGATGGAATCCCAGCCGAGGTGTATAAAGCAGGAGGACCTCTGCTTACCAGCCGTCTCCACTCTCTGCTGAAGAATATATGGGAAAACGATGAAATCCCCCAAGCTCTTAAAGATGCCTACATCATCAAAATTTATAAGAACAAGGGAGACCGGTCAGGCTACGGCAACTACCGCGGTATCTCGCTGCTGTCCGTAGCTGGCAAGATTATCGCCCGAGTCCTCCTAATCAGACTTCTTCCTGACGGAAAACTTCCTCCCAGAATTTCAATGTGGCATTAGACCATCACGTGGCACCACTGACATGATCTTTGCTGCCCACGAGATACAGGAAAAGTGCAGAGAACAGCATCGTGACTTGTACATGACTTTCATCGACCTAACCAAGGCCTTCAACTCGGTCAACAGGGAAGCCCTCTGGTAGACCCTCAGCCGTTTTGGCTGCCCACCAAAATTCTTTGCCAATGTGAGGCAACTCCACTATGTCATGAACGACAGTATCCTGCACAATGGCACCCAGTCTGAGTTCTTCCCCATCCAAACGGGGATAAAACAAGGATGTGTACTGGTACCAACGCTCTTTTCCATATTTTGGCTGCCTTCCTTACTTATGCCAGTGCCAATTTAGCCAGCGGGGTGGGCATCCAGTTCTGGATGAAGGGTCTTTTTAACATAAGATGACTCCAAGCAGGAACAAAGGTGTCAGTATTTCGGCTCCCACCTGTCCACCACCATGGACATCGATGAAGAGATTCAGCATCGGATCAGATGCGCATCTCAAGCCTTTGGCAGACTCAGTACCCGTGTCTTCAGTTGTAGGGAGCTGAAATTATCTACAAAGCTGCACGCATATCGAGCAGTGGTCCTCCCCATCCTACTATTTGGCAGCGAGACATGGGTTACATACATGAAACACCTCAAGGTACTTGAAAACTTTCACCAACACAGTCTACGTTCCATCCTCTGAGTTCGCTGGGAAGACAAGAGAACAAATGTCAGTATTCTCGCCGACACCAACTGTAGGAGGATCGAAGCTACCATTATCCATGAACAACTACAATGGACTGGCCATGGACGACAGTAGACTGCCAAAGCAGCTACTTTACAGTCACTGAACGAATAATAAACATAACGCTGACGGGCAACTGAAAATGTATGAGGATAGTCTTAAGACAAACCTGAAAAAGTGCCAAATCGACCCCCTCACCTGGGAGACGATTACTCCACACCTCCACACCGTAACGCTTGGAAGAGCACCACATGAGAAGGTGTCAATACTTTGGAGTTTGCCTGACTGCATACCAAAGCAGACAAGCACCAACGCTGATAAGACACTGCCACCGCCCCTCCTGCACTAGATGTAGCCCTCCACATGTGCAACATTTGTGGACAACCCTGCCAGTCCCATATCGGCCTCTCAAGTCACCTCACAACTCACCAACGTAGGTGACATCCTAAATAACTCATATCTTTGTCTCATAGCTGGATGATCGTCATACTCGATTCTGAGTGACAGCAAAGTAGTAGTGGTGTGATGTTGGAGCGTGTGCACAACATACACATGTCGTTTCTCACTACCGGTATTTATCTTTTTATTTGTTTTTTATTTGTTTATGGTTCTTTATTATTATTATCATTATTATTATTACTATTACAGTAGTATTATATTATACTTTTATTTAATATTTTATATAATTTTTTATTAATTTTTAGTAATTTTTATTAATTATTATTATTATTATTATAATTATTACTATTACAGTCAACCCTCACTTTACGCGGTCCCACATTCCATGTTTCCACGTTTACACGGTGCCCTGCCAGAACCCAGGATGCTCACATTCCGCAGTGGGTGTACCCCTTTACACGGGTGAAGTATAATTTTTTTATTTAGCTCATAAAATTCATACAAATTATCCGGCCAGAATATAATTTACATTGCTGTTATTCTTACAATTTGATGATCATTTTGAATATAAACATCATAGATTTTGCATTAGACATACAAATTTTAGATATAATGTTTACTCTGAGTAAATATGTTATCTTTTGTGCAAAATATATGACATTTATATTCAAAATATTCCTGGTCTTACAAGGAATCCAGCAATGTCAATTATGTTATCCTAACTTTAGTCTGATTTATTATTTATTACTAAAAAGGTAAACAGTCTGGTATTCCCACACATTCATCTGGTAGGGAGGGTTGGGATGGGGGTGGGAGGGATGGGAGGGACCGGCGACCGACCACCTGGCACCACGTGTGTGAAGAATATTTTTTTTTTTATTAACTGAAGATATTTGTTTTAGCTCATAAAATTCATACAAATTACCCGGCCAGAATATAATTTACATTGCTGGAATTCTTACAATTTGATGATCATTTTGAATATAAACATCATAGATTTTGCATTAGACATACAAATTTTAGATATAATGTTTACTCTGAGTAAATATGTTATCTTTTGTGCAAAATATATGACATTTGTATTCAAAATATTCCTGGTCTTACAAGGAATCCAGCAATGTCAATTATATTATCCTAACTTTAGTTTGAGGTATTATTTATTACTATACCTGGTTTTCCCCCAAAATTTCTCAGAGAGGGAAGAGCCAGCGAGTGTAGTGTGAGAAGAGGGGGAGGGAGTTGAGTCCATTATTTGAATGGACATTAACTTGGCGACTGTATTTCTCTATTTCTCTTAAGTATTAATTGTGTGCATGTACCATCATAAAATAAAGATGTTATTTTTACTAGAACATAGGTATTGTGTTGGAAAAAGTGGAGTTTGGGGGTCAGCTGGTCTCTATTTCATTTAATCCCATATGTTATGTTATTCACTTTACGCGTTTCTCACTTTCCACGGTACCCTGTGGGTTAACATTAACCGCGTAAAGTGAGGGTTGACTTTATTATATTTCTGCCTCCAGGCCCTAATGTGAGTCATTGACCTGTGCCTGGGTGGGCTAATCCTGTATCTAAAAAAAAAAAAATTAAAATTATCTTTGATGATAAGAATGAGAGATTGGAGACTGGAGGATAATTTGACATATTTTCAGTAACCTAATGAAAATATGTAAAATGTGTATGTGTAAAATGTCAAAGAAGGCAAAGAAGGAACTAAACTTTTCATTTACCTGTCTTTCTGTACTCCAAACTTTCCTCCATATCCATACGATGCTTTTGGTCCTTCTTCTTGTTGTACGCGCTTCAATTCAGCATCTGCATTCAATGTCTCTTCTCTGTATTTCGTCATACTGTCAAAAGAATTATGTATACAGTATAAGTTGATCCCAATGCTGTACTGTCACCAGAAATAGTCCTCCCACAATAGTAAAATAAACAGTATGATACCAAGACAAATGTGTTGCATAACTTGCAAAACAAAAGAAACTTGGCAGAAGTGATGATAAAGTCTAGTAAACTTAAAAATATATATAAGTTAAATATGAAAAGTTCAACCAGTCATAAGATTAACCAGTTACCAGACAGAGGCAGCAAAAGCATTTGGTAATAAAAGGTAGTACAGTACAGTGCTGTATTGTATAATAGCATAAAATCTCTTACCATAATTGTTTTTATTTACACACAAAAATTCTACACCAAATGAGGATACCGGGGGAGGGGGGGGGGGTGGTTAATGGCAATATGCAATATTTGTTCCAGAACCCGTCACCACCAGAGGATGTGAACAAGACCTGACTCCTGATTGTTCCTGTCTATACACAAGCCTACAACTTTCTTAAGTATTTCAAAGATAAGTAAATTGATACAAAGCTACAGAGGGAGAAAGCACGAGAGGATTATTTAATTCTGAAGTCATCTGGGAACCACTGTGTAACATGGGAGTTTCGATTTTACTCTAGAACTGGCAACAGCATCCCCAGTTAACCACTGACACATAAAACAGCGAGATTGCTTGGACACATCTTTTTGGAAAAAAATTCAACTTATATGACAGCAAATACAGTAAGGATGATTATAAAAAAAGATCATTCTTTAATCCTATGTACTGTACAGAAAGTCTTTTGTAAGAGAAACTTACTCAATAGCATCCAAGTCTCTCTTTGTACCATATCTCTGCTCCTCTTCTGTCATGTTATTGACATAGTCAGCATCTGTCTCCCAGTCATCATCATCATTGCCATTATCACAGGCAGTAATCTGATGGCCTGCCTGAGCTTTCCACATGCTGTCTCAATAACTTTGTCACACTCTGAAAAGAATAAAATTTTCTGAAAGAGAAAATTAAGAAATACTACAGAATTCAAGTGAAAGGAGTATAACAACAATTTAGTTCTATAATACATACATACAGTACAGTATTTTAGTTTCATTCACATTTATAAGAGAAGGACCAGGGGCACCAAGCACCAGTACTGTATAACAAAACATACACACAATCCTGGGCTCACTCTTAATATTTGTGGTACAGGACTGTATAGCTATTTTGGCCAAAGGTTAGTACTGTATTTTGTCATGTCAAATTATTTTCCAATCAGCAATATGTGACTATACAATGAGTGCATAGCTACAACAAATGTATCAATGTCTTCTTTTCATCAAATAATATTTTTACTAGCCACTGAAGAATTCATGATCAATTGAGTAAGCCAAGATATTATAACCTTAAGCTGAGTGTAACATCATTATCAGAATACCTGTACAGTACAACAGTAAAGAATTATAGTCGTTGAGTCCCGGCCAGTGTATCCCCTCCCCCTAGTTGTTGTGTCCCCCTGCCTCATCGATGTGTCCTGTTCCATTAGTTGATAAACCCCCTCTGCTTAGACGCTGTGTTCCCCTGCCTTATCAATGGTTCCCATTCCTTTAGTTGTTGTGTCCCCTTGCCTAGTCATTGCTTTCTCCATGTCTTGTCATTGTAACCCCATGCTTAGTACAGGGGGTTCCCGGGTTAGGAACGGGTTCCGTTCCTGATGACATTCTTAAGTCGAATTTGTATTAAGATGGAACACATGCTATGTGCATACCATACTTTAAGAACAATGTTCAAAATTCAACTATATATATCATAGCCTAAGTCCTTATATACATCAAAAATCACTTAATTTAAGACAAAGGAAGAAACAGAATGACAAAATACAGTAAATGAAAGTAAAAATTAAGTCATTAGGTAAATAAAAATATAAATTTAAAGTTTAACCCCATTCGTATTGGCAGGTGTTCATAAGTCAGACGTTCGTAAGTCGGGGACCCCCTATGTACTGTAATTGTGACCCCCCGAATGCCTAGTTGATGTGTCCTGTCTCCCCCCCTTTTTAATCATTTCACCACTTATCACTTAACACTATCCGTTCAGGCAGTTAGTCTATCCAGTGTTGGTACAGGAGGAAACTGGAGTCCATAAAACTCAAACCCTTGACATATTGGCTAGAGAATAATTTAAAATAAAAACAATATTGGACAAAAAGTACCAATTCAATAGCCCCCGAAGTCTCTGGACCCCACACCCCTGGAGTTCTTCCTCTGGGGTCACCTCTTTGAACAAAATACTGTACAGGTATGTGCTTTAGTAAGGCTTCTGCTGTTTACCTTCATCTTGATTCTTATTATTATACTGTTAAAAACTAAAATATCTCAAATAAATTTTCACTGATTTTTTCATATTACATTACCAAAATTGTTTGGAAATACAGTACAGGGTACTTGACAATGTAGGATTGCCCTTAGTACCAACTTTAGGAAATTTCTCCATATAAGATTAAAGATTTCTTTACCTTGTGAAACAGACAAAAGGGTGGATAAGGAATGACTTTTCTGAAATATCACCTTTACAATTTGTTGTACATTATTTGTTTTTTACATCTTCAGTCTGAGGAGAAGATGCCAAACTCTACCTGCCGTGTCCTCCATGTTCGTATGAGTTTGATGGTACTTTTCATAGAAAGAATCTTTTGTTTCATAAAATTTAAATACAATACAACTGTAGTTGTGGTGATTTACCACATGAATTAAAATTAATCCAGTTAAATGAAATTTACCGTAGCTACCTTCACCTAATCCCAACCCATATGAACCTAATCCTTTTTCCGAATAAAACACTTTAAGATACTCAGCTAAGATCTTTGACAGGAAGGGGTTATGACTCCTTATTATCTTGAATACAAATCTCTGCCAATGTTGTGTTTCCTTGCTAAGCTGATATTATACACATACACCAAGCAACTGAGTCTCCTTCCTCTTCAATGATGTTCTGTCTTGTTTTGCCCTTAACTAGAGTGAACGCAGTACAGTACTTAACGGGGTGGTGTGGTGGTAAGATTAACTAATTTCAATATTATAAATTAATTTTATTGGAATTAGTTAATTTTACCGCCACACCACCCCATTACATACTGTACTGAGGTGTCCCTCAGGACTCATTTAGTTTAAAACTCGGGTTGAAACATGACGACCCTCTTCAAGAGAAGATGTTTAATAATACGGGGGTAAATCTTCTGATCAACTACATTGTACCATCTGTCTATGAATTCATTGCTGACTGTGACTCATACGAAGATGCTGTTAACATGCTCAAGGAGCTTTACATCAAACCTAAAAATGAGATATTTGCCAGACACGTTTCAGTAACTCGTCGTCAAGTAGCTGGAGAGACTCTGGACCAGTACCTGCAAGCACTGAAGACTCTGAGTAAGGACTGTAATTTTCAAGCAGTCTCAGCCGAGGAGGCATGCAACAATTACATCAGAGATGCATTTATTAACGGACTTCAAGCTCACCAAATACGACAGCGCCTGCTTGAGAATAAAACACTCAACTTGCAGACCACATATGAACAGGCCCATACATTGGAGATGGCCCAGAAGCAGTCTATTTCATATATGCAACCTGACACTATTAATGCTGCAATGGCGTCACCAAATCGGGAATCGGCTCTAAATCTGCCTCGAAGCGCTTCACCCACATCTGCCCCAACTGGCCAGCCTGTACAGCCAGTAACTATGGCTGCTGCCAATCTGAAATGTTTCTTCTGTGGTCTTGGTAGACACCCCCGCTCCAAATGTCCTCCAAGGGATGTACTGTGTCTCAACTGCAAAAAGAAACGACATTATGCTAAAGTGAGTCGATCTGCTAAGTTTACTTCTGCATCCACCTTTGATCATTCTTGACAAAGGCAACACTCTGCTGCATCTCCTGGCTGTCTCTTAAGGGCTGTGATGAAAGCTAAGATAAATGGAGTTCCTGTCACCGCACTTGTTGATACTGGCAGGTAGTCAAAGCTTTGTCAGCTATAGTATTGTAGACATTCATTGATGGAAATTCTTCCCTTCTGTGGGAAAGATGTTGATGGCAAATACAGTCGTTCTCTAACCTTGAGGGTTCTGGGATACTGTACAGTATTGTATTACTAATCTGGAACTCAAAAACACTAAGTACAGCGATGTTAAACTGTCTGCGATGCTGGACTTCTGTAGTGATGCTATCTTTGGACATAACTTCCTATAGCAGCGCTCAGCAGTTCAAATTCCATTTGGAAGCTCCAAGCCTGCCTTGATGGTGTGTGGGCTTGAGGCTGTTAAAGTCCCATTTCTGTCATCGTTTCGCTTCCTGACAACTGATTGCAAGCCAATAGCAGTGAAATCAATGCATTATTCACATGACGACAAGAAGTTTATTGATTCTGAAGTGTCAGTCTCCATGGCATGCTCAAGCATTGGTGGTCTCGTCCGAAGGCCACAAAGGGAATGATGATAGATTATTCACAGACAATCAATCGTTTCACCTTGTTAGGTTGCGTATCCACTACCACGGATAGATGGCATGGTAAGGGAGATTGCTAGATATCGTGTGCTCAGTACGCTAGATCTATGCAGTGCATATTATCAAGTGGCTATCAGACAGGAAGATAGACCATACACTGCATTCAAGGCTGATGAACTTCTTTAACAATTATGTAGAATACCTTTTGGTGTTACTAATGGATTTGCCAGTTTCCAATGCATAATTGATGACCTTGTGACAAAGGAGAAGCTAGATGGCACTTTCGCAAACATCGACAATGTGAGTGTGTGGTCACGATAACAGTACATGATGCCAACCTCAAACATTTTTTAGATGTGGTCAAAAGGTATAACCTAACCCTGAATGATGACGAATGCAACTTCTTTCTGACGTCTGTTGACTTGCTTGGTTACACAATTAATGATGACACAATCAAGCCTGACCAAGAATGCTTGAGGCCCCTCCTGGACAATCCTGTACCACACTACACACTCACTTCGAAGTGCTATGGGAATGTTTGCACATTATTCCCAATGGATTACTGGAATTTCTGAGAAAATCCACCCATTGGCACAGACAAAAGGTTTCCCACTGTCACATTTGGAAATCAAAGCTTTTGAAGGCCTTAGGCATGACATCGCTGGCTCAGCAGTGACTGATAGAGATCCAGCAATACCATTCGTTGTGGAAACTGACACTTCAGAGTACGCTATAGCTGCTTCACTGAGTCAGTCTGATCGACCTATGGCTTTCTTCTCAAGGACACTCACGGCTTTGGAGCAAAAGCATAGTGGAGGCATTAAGAAAATGGAGACACTACTTAATTGGGCAGCATTTTCAGTTGGTCACAGATCAGAGGTCAGTTGCCTTCATGTTCAACTCCAAATGATAAGATCACTAGATGGCAAATTGACCTATCATGCTTCAGTTACGACATTGTCTATCGTCCTGGCAAAGAAAATGCCGCCGCAGATGCATTCTCACACGTATACAGTCCTGTATCTGCTCCAGATGATCTGCAGACTCTTCACAATAATTTGTCATCTGGGGATTACAAGGATGATGCACTTTGTACGGAGCAGAAATCTACCATACTCTATCAGTGACATAAAGGTGATGACTGCCACTTGCCCTACATGTCTGGAACTTACAGTAAGCCACCATTCTTCAGATCAGACTCTGGTACTCTCATAAAAGCTACTCAGCCTTTTGAAAGTGTTACGACTCCGGGAGTCGTTACCCCCTCTGTACTAGTCTCGAAGCAGAAACCACGAACAACCCTGGTTCACCTCTATTCGAATCATCCCTGTCACCACTCCCAAAAGATGGTGGGAAGCCGGCAGGGTGGTGTGAGCCAGTTGGCCACAAGCTACTCCCCGCCTAGATTGGCTGCTCCTCTGGGACTTGGCTGTGATCTTCGGTGTGGTGCCCCCTGTGTGTGTCCTCAGTGTGACAGACTGTTGGGACTCCATTCCCCAAGAGCAAAAGAAGGCTGAGTATTGATAGGGAGAATAGATTTTCTCAACCTCCTCTACCGTGTGTATTGTGTCTCCCTATGAGCACGTTTCAGCTGGTTCCTCCCTCAAACACATAAGTGGAAATGTAACAAGGTGGTACAGTATTGGTTGTGATATTGGTTATTCTATTGATAGTGATCTTGGTATAGGTACTGTATTTGTATACAGTATATAGTTTATAAGTGATGTGTACTAATTTATATTGTTTATTGTAACGTAAAGTGTGATCTTTTTTCTTTTGTATTATTTTGTAAGTTTTAATCATTATCAGTAAATTGTATAATTTTGGTTCTCTTTTTGTAGACCTTCTTGGTGACAGCCCAGAAATAGGATATTTCTTTTAAGACCTGATGGTCATAATATGCAGTGGCACTTGCAATACCTAACAATACTGAGACCAAATCTGAACTGTTGAGTCCCAAGTTCTCCCCAAGACTGTTTGGCACATTGTTCATCCCTCTATACTTGAGACCGTAACAGAAAGGCTGAATGTGGATTTCAAGGAACCTCTTCCTTCTAAGACAAGAAATCAGTATTTACTTACTATAATAGATGAATATTCAAGGTTCCCATTCACCTTCCCATGCTCTGATCTGTCAACAAACACTGTGATAAAATGTCTCTGCTCATTATTCTCCATCTTTATTCTCCATCTTTGGCACGCCAGCCTATATTCATTCCGATCATGGAGCGTCATTCATGTCGGGCGAACTGAAGCAGCTTTTGCATCAGCATGGAGTTGCCTACAACCCCCAGGGTAGTGGTCAAGTGGAGTGCTATAATGGCATCATCTGGAGAACGGTGACACTTGCTCTCCAGTGCATTCGATCGCTGCTGTCAACTGCCACTAATACCACTACACACGAACGGATGTTTGGCTACCAACGGAGATCGGCCAGAGGGAGGGCAATAACTACCTGGTTAACAACTCCATAACTGTGAATCTCAAGCGCCGAGTACGTTACAGTAACTGTGATCCGTTGGTGAACGAGGTGGAATTACTTGATGTTTATCCGCAATATGCGAGCATCATATTTCCAGATGGAGGGGAAACTACAGTGTCTCTGTGCCATTTTGCACCCAAAGGTGTTGAATCAGGTGCAGAGACACATCAAGACAAGGGCAGCAATGCACGTGTTCTTACACAAAGTTTAGATGAATGTCTCAATGAACACCCGGTAGCTGAGCGGAACGAGCAGCAGGAAATAGCCGACCACGAGGGAAATCGGCAGCCAGATGCATCGCCAACTCGGCCCCCTCCCATCGCCCGTTGTGTTCCAGACATATACCGTCCTATCTGGGCGATTAAACACTGTAATTGTATGCTGATGGGTTGTTTTAAAGACAGGGGTGAATGATGTGTTATGCTTAGTTGGTTAAGTGCTCTAGATTACCGGATATAATGTTTGAAGTTCTCTTATATTTCTTATGTTATGTTATGTTATGTTATGTTTATTTGTGTTAAGCTTGTTCTGCTACTAAAGCTTAATCATTCTTAATTTGTAATTACTGTTTATTCTCTTTATTACAGATCTATGGATACTGATGTTGTATCAAGTTGAATAAAGCCTCCCAGTGCTTACCTTTATTTTCATAACAATAATTACATGTCACAGATTCTCGGTGGAATAATTTCAACAATACTGGAGTATTTCTGGCTAGGTTAAGTATGAGTGATTATTTATTGACAATTCATTTTGGAAATTCCTGGCATACTGTATACTAACATTTTTGAAGTAATTAACATATATTGCTACAGTACATTCTATAATCTATTAAAAAAACAAAAGAATCAAGCTCACCTATCTAACCAAACCTAATCTACCTAACATTGAAAATATCCAACGAGGGGCCACCAGACAGGTTTCTGAACTAGGGAACCTCAGTTACCCAGAAAGATTAGAGCACCTGCAATTGCCTAGCTTATACTATAGGTAGACAAGGGATGACTTATCATAAGTTTATGAACACCTCAGAGGACATTACTCAGATGCCCGCACAACTAGAGGTCACAGCTTAAGGTTGTAAAAGCCAAAAGTTTTGAAAATTGTCTGGGTAAACTTCCTTGGAGTGAGGGTTGTGAACTCATGGAACAATCTGCCAGATAGCTTTTTGAAGGCACCGAGTGTGAGCTCATTCAAGACCGTCTTGACCAACACTGGTGCAGATACAGATACATCTTGGAACCAGTACATGCCCAGGGTAAAATTTTAGTTTCGGTCACCCCTGTATTTAAATATCCAAACCTACCTAACCTAGGCACAATACCCAGGAACTATATAACCTAACCTAAATTCTTAAGATTCCCCGAATGACCGACACTAAAATAATACCCCATGCCCAGTATTTGCTAACAGTGCCTAACAGATGTAACTGACTTCCCAAGTGACTAATAGGCCAATCAGAGGTGAAGACTAGAGTAAAGTAAGGGTTTGCACAAGAACTGGCCATCACCAAGGCATAGATCATACCAAAAATATCAAGAAAAACCATGTGTTGTTGCTGGGCATAGGAGCTGGTGTCTTCTAAATAGTACAGAAACGAGCTGTATAAAGTGAAACAAGTGGGGTTAGAACCTCACACTGTCCTGTATCATTGCCTAGATCACTATTTACCAAATAATATCTTGACGTTTACTTCAGGCCTTGTATGGCAAGGTAGGTAGATACCTACCTTGTTGTATGGTGGCTTCTTCAAATGTGTTCTTTAAACATATAACGACGTTTTTTTCACACGACTTTAGTAAACAAATGAGTCACAAGGAAGTACAGGGCGAGTGCTGAGAGGCAGGAAATGACGATGGGCATCACAAAATGGTAATAAAATCTTTCCCAAGTCCTAGTGGTACACACTTATAATAGCTTAGCATGTTCAACTTCAGGGAATCTGCGCCATACAAAACAACTAGGATAACATTTCTGGAGTCACTTTACCTGTCAAACGCCTCTTCTTATCTGAGAAGACCTCCCTCGGTGTCAAACGAAAGCTTGAAGATAAAGAACAGTCATCACCTAAGTGTTTGAAAATATAGCATAAATGCTAAGATTATTTTTAAACTTATTAAGTTTTAATAGATTATGCTAACATCTAAAATAACAGGTACAAGAATTTATGCGTTTTAATATATTATGGTGTCTTACATGAATGCCGGATAGGTGCTGGATATAAACATTGAAAATTAAAGAAAATGTATTTTATTTTAAGGGTAACTTTAACTTATCGTACCGTGCGGTATTCCCTTCGCCATTGATCGGCATGTTTGCCGCTTGGGCAATCGGTTTTGTCTATGTCAATCACTGTTGGTAAATGCTGGGCATGTAAGGGCTCTAAAATGTACCAGAAAATGCCCCAGTGTTGGTAGAGTCGTCCTCAAATATCGCACACTCGGTGGTGTCACAAGTTACCACAACACCCTGGCATTCAAGAGTTTATGGTGTCCTTTTGTGGGGATAAAATGACCAACAACGAAAGGAATAAAGAAACTAAAGCTATAAAATTACACATATGTTTATAAATCTCACATAAGTCAAAGTCTCTTTACAAGTCTACAAAATCTCTTTATAAAAGTAATACACGAAATTAAGGTGGTACAGTATGTATATGGGGCGGCAGGGGTCCGGACAAAAGCCCTCTGGACGATACCCCCTCAGATAAAGTGCAATGTAGGATAAACGCCCCCATTTTTTATATTAGTGTGTTTCAAGATCCTTATCTAGGTACACATGATAGTGCTTAGTGTATAATACTCACACACACACATATATAAATCTTGTTAAAATCACACAGGGAAAAGGAAAGCACCGGAGAACCTTAGCTAAGGTTCTCCGGTGCTTTCCTTTTCCCTGCCTGATTTTGTGAAGATTTATCTTATCCACTTTTCCATTGTGGATCTACATGATATATATATATATATATATATATATATATATATATATATATATATATATATATATATATATATATATATATATTGTACTGCGCACATCATTGTCATTCCTAAAATCCCACTTTAATTCATATTACCCTACATAACATTCAAATCCACCGCGCTTGTAGAATCTCAGAAAACGGGAAACATTGATAAAGGATAACTCACCTACTCAATGTTACTCAATCATGTGTTGTATTGTACCCAGGTACGGTTATATAATATTAATTGTATGTACTCATAGCATTAAAGAGAACTCAGGGTATCCATAAGATGATTGGGAAAGTCCAGTTGAGCCGGACTAGTGTACTGTAGGACTAAGTGTGGATCATGGTTTGAAGGTCATACTATTTACGTCTGTGAACGTGTAGCGAACATAACTTCCACAGATATCATATGAAAATACATGAGAACAATGATCTGGAAAAGGGTTAAATATGTCAGAACTATGTGAGGTGTTAGAAGTCACCCAGAAACTATACTTGAAAGGAAATATCTTGCATGTATCGGGGTGAACTTAATACACCTCGTATCCTCACGTGACGTATACCCACAACATGTACAGTGATCAGAGGTCTGTGTTCAAATAGTGCCATGTGTGAGAGGAGGATCCCTAATTACAGTTTTAAGTGAAGTGGATATACCCACGCCATGAACATTTGGCTTTTGTTTTAAGGGGAAAGTCCTGTGTACCAGCCTCGGGTGTGCTTCGTTGGTATTATAACCCAATGAATTTACCCACGAACTAGCAAACCAGAACCTTACCTTAGTGTGTAATTTAGGATTAAAATATGTGTTTATAAGGCATGAGTTATAATACACCGGAAAGTGTTCAGGTGAGAACCGTAAGAAATAAAAGTAAAAATTAAAGATTGGAATCTATAGGCCTACGCGGTGGTGGGCGTCGGGCACTGCCCCCTCAGTATCCTCCGTTTTACCGTCATCTCAGGTCAGTGTCCTCTATCGGGCTATATCCCGCCCTGTAAAAAGGCTTATATAGCAGTTATTACAGTTTAAAGCTTTGCCTGATGTATAAGTGACATAGTAATGTGTTAGGGTGTGTGATAACCGCCCATTAGGCATTATTTCTGAGTGTCCTACATTCTAACGTCACCTCAGGTCACACGCGGTCGGAGCACCTTGGTGGGCGTCGGCCATTCTCCCTGTGAGCGTCCCACCATGTGAGGTGACTACCAGCTATACTATTCCACTGTGAACCTGTGGATCCCCAGCAGACCACCCCAAATGAGTAGGAATAAATAAGGAAATGCTTGAGAAACTCCGCGGTCGTCACTTGGAGCGACCTATAATGCCAGGCACAGAAACAGTACTGGTATGTCTCTGGGGGTAGCCCTTGTCTCTACCCACCGAGGACGGTGTGCGAACGAGGTGCCTGATGTGTGCATCTAGAAATTACAAGGAGTCCCACACTTGCAGGTGTGGTGAGCTGGTACTACAGGGAGGTGAGATAGTGTTACTATGTATGATGACCTGAGGTGCTATATTCCATACAGGTGGAGCAGTCCGAAGTGTTAAATGATATTGTAAGCAGGGTAACCAAACTCATCGTTGTTCTTCTGAGGAAGGCCAGCTCAATTGTATTTTTTTGTCACCATATAGTTTATAAAGAATAAATTAGTTAAGACATGTTTTGGTTTCACCCTTCTTTCCCCTTATCGATCTGGTCAATGAAAAACCTAATCCAATGCCGAGTCCACTCTGCACGCTACCTAACGAGTTACATACTGTCCAGAGGGGGGTCTGGTGGCAGCGACCCTTAGAAATTAAGATTAGAGTTAAGTATTTCCCCTTAGAATTAGTGAGCCCAGTCTGGTAGTATAATATATATATATCCCCTCACTTAATCCTTTCGCAGGAGCAGCAAGGAGCCGTGGAATGTCAGTGAGGCAGTACTGGAGTGTGAGATGTTGATTGTGATGCTATCTATAGTCATAGGACACTCAGGGAGGCAGTGCTGAATGTTCTAGGGATGAGAGGACTGGATTCATGGGATGTCAGGGATGCAGTGATGGAGATGTCAACAGCTTCAGAACTGTAGTCATAGCTGTGGAATCCTGGGAGGAGCAGAGGTTTGGATGAGGAGAGAATGAGTGAATGAGAGTGAACCTTGGCCTGGTCTGCCTTTATACAGACAACAACTTAAACTTGTGGAAAGTGAAGTCTTCCCATGGGACAAATAGGACCTCTGGGTATACTGTGATCATCCCAATAGCCCAGGTGGCCACTAGGGTGAGAGGGTTAATCCAATAATGACCAGAAGAGGGTATACAGTGGTTTGTAGCAGTAGGCTGCTGTGCTGTGGGCAAGTGTTGGAGATAGGAGGGCAGCTTCAGGTTAATGTTTGTAATTGGTAAGCTTGGACGGGTCAAGTCAGGTGCAGGGTAAGTCTGCTTCTTTCCATTCCACCCTCATTTTCATCTCACCCCTACGCTATTTCCCCCTCCAGTTACCGTAAGTCTGTATAAAGGAAGTTGTTAATTTTTCTTACCAAAGCAATACCTTTTTTTACAGCAGGTCAGTCTTAAGACTACAGTACCGTATTTGTATTTCGTGGGTTGGCAGTTGTATGTAACCAAAAATATTGTTATTTCCAAAGAAATACTGTACTGTATATTGATGTGTTTTGTGTGAGCTACCATACTAGGTTTTCAGTTTTGACCTGTCTCCTGTTAAGTAAACTTATTCTCTTTATCGATTGTTAAATGGGAGCTTCTTTTTAACTTGATTTGGAACATTACTAGATTTAACATAATTTACCACTTCCAATATCCTTATACTGTATGCATGTTTAAATATACAGTACTGTATATAGTATAGATGTGTTTGTTAGGGTAGGTCTAAGGTTTCTTTGTTTAATATGTATGTTTAAAGTCTATTGTGCTTACCATTACTTTTGATTATACTGTACTGTACAGATCTTAATTTGCTGAAGAGTACTTAGTGCTTTTTAATTATCAATGAAATTTATTTGACATGGTGAACTGTGAAAAGATAATGGTAATAAACTGAGAGTAATCACTAGTTATGGGTAAACCCCCAGGGTCATAACACACCATCAGGATCTTTATGAACTGGAAAGGCAATTTAACACCTCAACCAATTGGAGATGAAAATACTAGTGATGTCATCAGTAGATATCTGAACCACACACCCAAATTTAGTGTTATGTATAGTCTGACTTGATAACCTTTAATTTGGCATTCCTTAGCCAGAGGGCTTAAAAATTGATAGTCTGTTCTGCATGAAAACTTGATATTTTTATGTGAATTTTGAATGGAAAAATATTGTGGTTTGTATTTGTATACCTGTATATATAATAGAAAATCTGAGCCAGGATGTCAGATAATGTGATTAATCAAGTGCTTTGAAAAGCCAGGGACTTAATGTGGGTTACAAAGTCATAAGCTGGCAGTTGTAAAGCAGAGAGAGCTTTCTCAGCACTGCTGAAGAGTTAAAACCTATATGTGATTAGTAGTAAGAGAGGAATGGCTAAGAGGACTCGTTTATCAATGTGTCGACTTCTGGAACCACATTGTGGTAAATCTTTTTCTTCAGAAGCGAACAATTAGGTAGTAGGCAGCTACCAAACAGGGAGGTACTACCGCCTGGGAAGATATTGGAAGCATAATGTGTTGTCTAATGGTAGATGCTGCTACCATATGGCATCACAAAAATTGTGACCAAGTCCCAGGTTGCTGATCTGACTTTCTGCTACATTTACACACAATTGCAGGGTCTCTATTGTTTCTCTTACTATTGGCAACACAACATACATATATTGTTTCTCACTCTTGATCTTTTTTCATTTTTGTATTTCTTTATGGTTCTTTATCCCCCAGGCCCCAATGTGGGTCAGTGACCTGTGCCCGGGTGAGCTGAACCCCCTCCCCCTCCAAAAAGCATGTTTTGCAGAGCCATAGTTTTTGTCTGTTGCTTTTGGACTACAACTACAGTATAGTTGGAAATACTTTCCCATGGTGAGGTTATCTTTGATTGTAAGAGGTTTAAAATGCATTATGTAACATGCAAGAAATAAAAATTGTATTTCAATTATTATTTTACTTTTCCTTTTATGTGTGTGTGCAACTTTCTTATGCAAATAGATTTTTTATTAATTGAAAATTAATGAGGGAAGGAAAAAAGTGTTATCTCAACCACCTACATTAAATAAGCCCCATCCAAAATACCCATCAATAAATAAACAACTAAAGGAATAATAAGCATCTGAGACATGGTAAGATTTATTCATATCCAAATCATTTAATGCTACCATTCTTTGTACAAGACATAGGCATATGTACACAAAAATACTGTTGTATTGATATACAACAACTGTCAGGATTTGCAACATGGGGGATCTTAAATTTAAATGAGCCTTTATCTTATGTCTGCTTGGGGTTGCCCCGAGTCCCTGCTCAGAAATATGTTGAGCCAGGTACTGAGTCTTGGTATAACGCCTACTGGTAGCTACACATTTAGCATGCATGGTATGAGAGCTCCATAATGCGCCAACTACCAACTATTCAAAAAGAAAATGAACACAACAAATCTGTGCAGGGCTCAGTTCACTCCCATGCTGAACACCTCTTGTATACTGTATGCTTAGTCTAAAGGTGTATCATAAACATCAACTCTACAACACACTATCATTGGCAATGAAAAAATAAAATAAAAAGATATATATCCACAATAAGAATAATGGTTTCAAATAGTTTCCTTCACTTCTTCACAACATCTATTGGACATTTCTTGTAAAAGATATCACTAAAAAAATTCATATTAGGAAACATGAATATCCCATCATACACAAAAGCAAAAAACAAAGAAAATAAAAATATTATTTGTCCCAACAATCTATGTACATAACATAAATACAAGAAGTGCTAGTGTGAATGGGAGAGCTATGGGATATGTCCAAGCCACAAACACTGTAGAGATTCTTCAAGTTGCTCAATGTATGAATAACATATATACTGGTGACTTTTCATGACTTGGATTTATAAATAATATATCATAATACATCTGATACCTTCCCAAGGTAAATATATAGCAAAAATTGCTCTAGTGTACAAGTATTTTACAAGGAAAATGTGTAATAAATGTCCCTGTCAGAGGAACTTTATGCTTGACTGTATTAGTTACTATTGTAAAATCATTCAGGATTCAGACCATTGTGGCTAGGATGACAATGAGTGGCAAGTAACTACTAAGCAGAACTGCCCATCATTACACAATTGAAGCTTAGCCTTTGTTTAGTCTTTGCACTGCAACAATATGGTAGCCTGTGATAAACTGTACAACAGCAGATATTGAAGTTTGACAAGTAGATAAAACTGAAGTAAAAGCAAAGAGTCCTTGTGTGACACTTTTTCCAGATGAATGGTATTTTCATTTATTCTTTTTTCTTTTTTTCTTTTTTTTTACAAGAATTAACAGCCCATGTGAACTAAAAATCATCCCCATAAAAATTCACCCTGAGGAATTGTGCTGGAAAGCTTTTCACTTTGGGACAGAAATCCATAACAATTAACTGAAGCTTTCATAAAGATCAGTAATAAGTACATATATATTCTTTTATAAAAGCTTATATCTGTCTGGTCCACCATCAAAAACTCACCCAGAAAATAAGGGGAGGCAGTCTCACACTCACACGAGCACAACATAGAACACAGAAAGTTTCTCTGGCAGTTTTTGGGCTTTCATATGAAAAGTTTTGGGAGCCCATCATTTAGTCAAGGAGAAAGAACCTAATATTATTTTGTACTTTCCAAAAACAAATAGATAGGGTAGGGATAAGCAAAAAATACAGAATATAAAATAAAATAAAATATTGGAAAATAAGGAAATGGATGAAGGGCATGGATGGTATGCAATAAAATACTCTAAAAGACATATAAAGCTTTCCAACAATGTACATAATTAATTGTGGTCAGGCCACACCAGGAGTGCTTTGTGACATGATGCAGTTTACATTAAAACTGCTTATGAAATTATTATGCAAATGACAGAACACTCAATTTGGCCCGACCAACAAATATTTAATCCGCACAAGGACTCGAGAAGAATTTCTACACAGAGAGCAGAGCCTATTATAATAGGTTCGCTGGAGATATCATACAGGTCAGAACAAAAGCAAGGCCCTCCTGCTAAATGCAGGCTGGGACCCAGAAGGGTAACAAGCCCGCCATCACGACCCTCTGGATCCCGGGGCAGAGCAATCATGTCCAGAATAACCCCCACCACTGTAACCCAAACTAGGAGATACCAGTCCTGGAGGCCCTTGAGCTGGTGGTCCCTGTGGTCTCACAGGAGCTGGATGTCCAACAGGACCTTGGGGGGGTACAACTGGATTAGGAGGTTGGGGTGGAGCCACACGACCAGAGGAATACAAAGAAATGGCAGGAGGTACCCCCTCTGCAGCAGGGGAAGTATACTGTCCCCTAGAGTACTGTCGCACAGGATAAACAGGATTTTGTGGAGTTGAGGGGGTTGGTGATATATGAGGTCCAATCTGTACCGAAGATGGGTGATGGGAAGCAGTAGATGTGCCTCCCACAGACTGTTCACTGGGAATAGGAGATAATTTCGACTGCATGGCTATAGGAACAGGTCCCCCAATGGGTGGCGGAACAGGACAGGCCAGAGGGGGTACTGATGGAGTTAATGGAACTGGCACAGAAGATGAAGCTATTCCTGCTGTTGGAAGTGACCCTTGAGAACTCTGTGATGATGGTCCACTGCGAGATGAGGATATGTTACATGTTGTTGCAGTCATAGGTGGTGGTGGTGGAGGCCCTTGGTGGGAACCTGGTAAAGTCATATTAGTTCCAGAAGACCCTGGATGGCCTGGTAATGCTATTAGTCTCTGTGTATTACCAGCAGGGATGTTAAGTAATCCACTGCTAATACTACTGGTGTTATTGCAGTTTGCATTTTGTGTTGGATTACTGCTTGGTTGTGTTGCTCCAACTTTGGAAGCACACCCTACTTTTTGAACCGTAACTTCTCGCCCTTGGAAAATGGAGTTTTTTGGAGGTGCTGTTGGTGGAGGTGGTGGTGGTGGTAAGTTCTTTTCCTTGTGACGACGGTGATTTCTATCACGATCCTCGCCATCTCCTGAAGTAAAAACATAAACAAATATTTAGTGCTTACTCTTTGAATGTTAAACATAATATAGTTTTGAAAAACCTTAAAAGTGTACTGAACCTAAAATATACTAATAAATATATGTCCACACTAAAAAATTAAATAAATTTAAATCGAACATTTACAGTACACTTTTTCATAATACTGTACCAATTTAAAAAAATGATAACCATTTAGGTAACAAAAAAAAATACACCTATAAATGACAGTGGTGAATGAACGTGCAAAAATTCTGAGGTCAAACTGGTGTCATAACCAGGGTATATAAAATTGGAAAATGGTGATTTGTGGACTCAGTCTAGATACTCTTGCTATTAAACTATTTAATATAATTTATTCTGATCACAAAACCTTCTTTTGGTTATTGACTGCATAAATATTTAGGGCAGGCAGAAAAAGAAACACTATAGACTTGTATGGCAGAAGCATAGAAAAGGTTTTATAATTACCTCTCATCAATGGATAACCTACAGTAAAACCCCCATACCTCTCAAATTTGAAATAACACATAATTTGTAACGTTTTGCTGTTACAAAATATATACAGGGTACAGGGTATTATAATTTTTGTAACATTTGGTAAAATTTTGAAACATGAGACATTTCAAAATATTACCACATATACTGTACAGTATTACCCCGCTTTACGAGGTGCATGTACTCTTTTACGCGGAGAGCGGCGCGGGCAGGGTGCGCACAAGGTCGCCCAGTCATAAAAACATTACCGAGTTCACCCGCCACCCATCACAGCCGGCCCAAGTTAGTGATAGTGAGGATATGGACTTATATGGACTTTGAGGGGTTTGACAAAGAGGCCATGCAAGCCTCTGTGGTGGATAGTGATACAATTGATACAAGTGATACAGGTGAGGGCCAATAATCTGCCCTCTGCCTCGGAGCCAACCCCCCATCCCCGTGTGCCCAGCCATCTTTTCTTCTAATGTAAGTGTTAAAAAACCTAATATTATTGATATTTCTCTTAATTATTAATTGTGTGTGCATACCATCATAAAATTAAGAAGTTATTTTTACTGCAACGTAGGTGTTGTGTCTGAAAAAGTGGAGTTTGATGGTCGGCCCGGTCTATTTCAATTAATCCCATATGTTATGTTGTTCACTTTACGCAGGCCTCCGTGGGTTCAATTGACCGCGTACAGCGAGGGTTCACTGTACTGTATATTGCAATACAGGTATTCGTAGTATATTTGGTAAAATTTCGGATTATGAGAGATTTACAAATGTATATGATGCACAAGATGCCATGGGATGTGACCGACCGCCTCAGTGTAAACAAGAACTATAAGTGTCACGCGTATCGGCCAGTTCACGTTGGTCAGTCGTGGAGTGCACTTCTATGGTCTACCACACAAACTTTTTCCAATTGTTTTTCCATTATTGCCCAGTGTTTGAGCCATTATGTCTGATACCTCTGGACCAAGCACCTAAATCTGGTACAGTATTGGTATTATGGAAACATGATGGTAGTAAGAGAATTAAACTATTTGAGATAAGCAACCACACACAACAGAACAATAGATTCATGCTTGTATGGAAAATGATGGTCTTATATGTCTGCAAAAACAAAGTGATTTAATATTGTTGTAATTTATTGTATTTCATAACTTAGGTAGTTTCATAAATATAAAATATTCAGGTCATTCCCAATGTCATGTTTGTGAAGCTTTTCTCTCAGAAATAAATTTCAAGATACTCAAGACCCTATTGCTGGTAACTGTAAGGTTTAGGGGTGCCACTTTCTTTTATTGTTATTTTTTCGGAAAGTTAATTTCTTAGTAATATAAATATATTTGCTTCATTCCTGGGTGTGCTTTCATTTTTTGATGAAAATTTTAAGTTTTGGGGTTTTGGTTTGGTCTGGTTCGGTTAGGTCAGGACAAATTAGGTTAGGCTAGGTAAGGTTTTTATTAATTTTACTACAGTACGTATGATTATATTATTTTATTTATTTAACCCCCACATTTTCCCTCTACTTCAATGCCCTGCCCACTTAAAGGGTACCAGACTGTAGGGAGATTGCTAGTTGGTGAAATTAAAAAATGCACTCATTGTTTATTATGTAGGTATTCTCTCTCATATCCACAAGGAATTTCATATTTTCTTTACTAATAAAGTTTAAAGCCTAAACATAATATTTACCCTTACTGCAAATAGATAATTACTGTACACTAAGTTAAAAAAAAAAAAAAAAAATTTACACTCTTCCTTTTCTGGCATTCCAAGAAAATAAGGAGTCTGCAATAGGCTGGTTGGCCTGTGTATGGCAGCTCCTGTCGAGAGTTACTACCACTCTATCATCCATGAATCTATCTAGCCTCCTTTTAAAACTTTCAAGCGTTCCAACACTTACTACAAAGTTGCTAAGTTTGTTCCACTCGTCCACCACCCTATTTGTGAACCAGTTCCTTCCTATCTCCCTCCTAAACCTAAACTTATCCAACCTAAATCCGTTGCTACGAGTCCTATCCTGCTCGGATATTATAAGAACTTTATCTATATCTCCTTTATTGATTCCTTTTACCCACTTAAATACTTCTATCATATCTCCCCGCATTCTTCGTCTTTCTAGGGATTGCAAGTTTAGTTTCTTTACCCTTTCTTGATATGGAAGGTTTTTAAGTCCCGGAATCATTTTCGTCATTCTTCGCTGCACCGACTCTAAAGAATTGATATCCATTCTATAATAAGGGCACCAGAACTGAACCTCATAATCGAGGTGAGGCCTGACTAGCGCAAGATATAGTTGCAATAAGACCTCTGCATTCTTATTACTTACACTTCTAGATATAAACCCTAATACTCTGTTTGCCTTATTTCGAACATTAACTCACTGTTTTCTAGGCCGTAGGTCCGGGCTTACAAGTACCCCTAAGTCGCTTTCAAAAGTCGACTTCTCTAGGTTGATGTTGTTAAGGCTGTATACATTGACAGTATTTGTTCTTCCAATATTAAGTACGCTGCACTTGCTGGTGTTGAATTTCATTTGCCATTTTTCTGACCACTCCTGCAGTTTATTTAAATCCTCCTGTAGTGCATTTGCATCCTGCCCTGAATTAATCTGTCGCCCTATTTTGGTGTCATCCGCAAACTTGCTTATGTCACTGATCCCAGTATCTAGATCGTTTATGTAGATCATGAACAAGAGTGGGCCCAGTACTGACCCCTGGGAACCCCACTGGTTACACAGCCCCACTCAGATTTAACACCTTCTATGCTGACCCTCTGTGTTCTATCGGTGAGCCATGATTTTATCCAGTTTAAAACTTTCCCCTTGATACCATGAGCCTTAACTTTTCTCAGAAGCCTCTGATGCGGTACTCTGTCAAACGCTTTGCTAAAGTCTAAGTAAATAACATTGTAATTTTCGTCATCATCTACTACATCGAAGACTTTCCTAAAAAACGTCAGCAGATTTGTTAAACAAGATTTTTCCCTTTGTAAACCCATGTTGAGAGTCGTAGATTAATTTGCTTTTCTCTAAATACGATCGGATGCTATTTGCTATAATTGATTCAAGAAATTTCCCCACTACTAACGTCAAATCAATCGACCGGTAATTTAACGCTGATGCTCTGTCCCCCTTTTTGAATATGGGTACTACATTTGCCTGTTTCCACAAGTCTGGCACAACTCCCGTGGCTAATGACTTTGTAAACAAATTTACAAGGGGTCCGCTAATCTGTTCCTTACACTCTTTCAAAACTCGAGGGAAAATTTCATCCGGCCCTGGGGATTTTGTCTTCTTTAATTTATTTATCTTCTTAAGAACATCCTCTTTTCTGATAGTGATATTCTTTAATTTCTCTTCTTCATTTCCCCTAAATATCAGTTCCACCTCTGGAATTTCCTCGTGAATTTCTTCTGTGAAAACTGATAAGAAGTAGCTGTGTAATGCTTTGCTTATTTCCTCACTGTCATCGATCACTTCCCCTCTCTCTGACTTTAAAGGCCCCACTTTGTCCTTGACCTGCGTCCTATATAGCTGGAAAAATCCCTTGGGATTCGTCTTGGATTCTCTTGCTATCCTGATTTCGTAGTCCCTCTTTGCCTTCCTTACATTTTTCTTAACATTCCTAGATAGTTCATTATACCTATTTCTGAGCTGCTTCTCCCCTCCCTTTAATTTCTTATAAATTCCTTTCTTTATTCCTATGTCATGTTTAAGTTTTCTGGTCATCCACCTTGGCTCATTCTTATTTGACCTAATTTTTCTGTATGGTATATTTTGTTCTTGTGCTTTACGTAGTATACGAGTGAATATATTATAGTCATGATCAATTGTTGTGTCACCTGTGACCTCTCATTCCTACTGGGGACTGACCTGACTGTTCCCAGGCGACCTCACCTACCCTGTAGGTACCTTCTTAACCCCTGATAATCAGCCAATCCAAAGTTTGGGACTCTGACCATATTGTCATTGTTTTTCGTTTCCCAATTTAGGGTGAACCTGATTTCTGTGTGATCTCTGTTCCCTAGGTCTTCCCCTACTGTGATATCTCTGATAATACTTTCTTTATTTGCTAATACTAGGTCTAATATATTGTCACCACTAGTAGGTTCTGTAATTTGTTGTTTAAAAAAATTGCCCTGTACTGCATCTAGGAAGTCTTCAGATTCATAGTCTCCTACAATGTTGTCCCAGTCAATATTTCTGAAGTTGAAATCCCCCATAATGCACAGGTTTTTATATTTTGCTGCCCCACTCATTTCCTGCCATATGGGCTGAGCTGCTTCTTTCCCAAGACTTGGGGGCCTGTAAATCACTCCCATAATTAGTTTTTCTCTTCCTTCTGTAATTTCTACCCATACAGACTCGGTTCCTATTTCACCCTTTATTGAATTATTAAAACAACATTTTAATGTATCCCTGACGAAGTGTGCGACCCCTCCCCCCTTCCTACCTTCCCAGTCCTTGTGAAAAAGGTTGTACCCTTCTATGTGGTAATCTGATAAAAAGTTTTTGCTCGCCAGATTCATCCAACTTTCGGTGATTGCTATGACGTCTACATTCTTGGTACATACAACCGCTCTCAGCAAGTCTATTTTATTTCTAACGCTCCTACTATTCGTATAGTATACATTTAAACCTACCCTTCCCTGGTCCTGTTTTACCCCTTGTCCTGAGTAACCAATTTTACTTCCCAGGACCTGCTTGTTTTTTTTACTCCCACTTAACCCCCCCCCACCCCCTTGGAGTGACAATTTCACGCTCCAGGGATGCAGACAACGTCTTCACCCCCGCACAAGACAAGTGTACTCCGTCACGACTGTACAGGTAATCGTTGCCAGAGAATGGTTGCCAGTTATCAATGAATGCCCAACCATTGCTTGCACAATGTTTTTCCAGTCGGCAATTTATAACAATTGCCCTGGACAGCCATTCACGACCAACTCCTCTTCTAAGCAAGACACCACATACTATCGAGATCCCTACCCTATCTTTAACCTTCCCCAGCGCCTCCCTGTACCTCTTGAAAAGTTCCTCACTCCTAACCTTTCCTATGTTGTTGCCTCCCACACTAAGACACACTACTGGCTTGGTACCCTCCCCTGACAAAACCCTATCTATCCTCTCAGCTACATGACCTATCCCAGCCCCAGGAAAACACACCCTAGTCCTACGTTTCCTATTTCTTGCAGAAAAAGTCCTATCTAAGAACCTCACCTGGCTGTCCCCAACTACCACGACCTTACCACTGGGCAGGGTTTGAACAACTGCCCCTTTCTCTCCTGGCACCACATCGTCCTGCCTCTTCACTTCCTCGCCTGCTTCCTCCAACACTTGGTACGGGTTACTGCACTCCACACCCTGGTCAGCTTTCCTGAGTCTGACCCTAGTCCCCTTGGAAACAACCACTCTCCACGCCTGCTCCTCCTTCGCAGGTATCCTGCTGGGCAGGACACCTACCTGAAGGAGTTCAGTCCTGAGGGCTTCGTTCTCCCCGTTTAGAGTGTCTATCTCTCTCTCCTCAACTGCTCCAGCTGACTTAACAGAGTGGCCAGAAGGTCATCTTTCCCCACACTCCGCCCCTCTTCCCCCACAACACAACGATCCACAGCGGCCATTTCCTCTGGTCACTAGCACGAGCACTTAGGGGCACGTCCTTCTCCAAGCTAGGTCAGGTAGCGTATCAAAAGAGCTAGGTCAGGTAGCGTATCAAAACATCCCATATACTTCACCTTTCTTATCCCTTCCATTCTGGTAATTCCTAATGCAGCTTCAAATAACATAACACTGTAGCTTGAATATTAGAGAATTCTACTGTACCACATTCAAATCTATGTTTCACTGTTATCATTTTACCTCCAACTTTATAGTCCTTCCCAGTTCTCCAATCACCATCTTCCTATAAAGTATAGTGTTCTCTGCCTGATTTCATTCTCCACAGACACATTCTTACTAAACATCATTCCCAAATACTTGAAATAGTTAACTTTTTTCATTATCTTATTTTTCATCATAATTTGACATTTCAATTTGCTACTTTTTTCTCTTCAGTTTACCCAAATCCATTATGTCAAATTCCTTCCTAAAACACTATTATCTTTCTCTTCCAATTTTTTATCTTTCAATCTCCTTCAATCAAACACCAAGTTTTGTAATTCCTATTCATTCTTTGCAAAAAGCACTGCATCATCCGTGGACAGACATGTTGCCCATAGCCAAGCCCTAACTTTCATAATTTTAGGTACAAATTTAGCATTACATTACAGTATTTTATGAACTACCCTGTTCAGGGTAGTTACCAAAAATGGTTTTAAAGAAAATTTTCAATTTTATTCAATTCAGAAGAAACCTAAAATTTAATTTATTTTACTTATGTATATTTCTTCTATTCATACAAGCACCTCTTGTACAGTACTGTATAGTGAAAGAAGGGTGGATAGGTCATGATGGTGGGTTATCCCATTACTTCAGTAGGATGCTATTCACACTGAAAGGTTGTTATGCCATCGACAAGCATAATTGATAGTACTGTATATTCAATTATCACATGGACATAGGCTAGTGTATCCTCTACACCAGTCGAGAATTGTACTGTTAACACTCCAACCCACTGAGCCACAGAGTTAATGCACAGTATTACTAAATATTTATACATCTTATAGTAGTACAGTATATGTATTAGCGGTACAAAATAGTTTCTTAAAATACTGTATAGATTTACAACATAACTTGCAAGTAATGAAGGGTTAAAATATCCCACTCCCCTCAGTAAGTGGACTGTATTTTATATATACTGTACACCGGTTCCTTGCTTAACACTGATTTTTTTTAATGTTTTTGTCTTTACACAGCTTTTTGAATAACAATTTACCTCAAATAATGCTCGTAATTATTTATAGTTACACAGTGTAACAGTTCAAATTTTGCGAGCTGCGCAGTGTTGTTAGAGCTGACTGCCAGTTGGTGCGCGTTTATGTTTACTGTACATGTTTGGCGCCAGTTTGTGAACACTGAAGCTCCCTCATACATTCCATTTATTTTGTGCTATTTTGGCAGGATATTTAGTAATAT